GGGGCCTTTTTACATCATGTGGGGTACAAGTGTACTTCCGCTTTGACAGTACTGCCAGTGGTAAGCTTGTCAACACGGGATCAAACATGAACTCTTACAGATGATTGGTTCTCCAATATAGAGACCTTTTTGCCTCGATTTCCTATTTTTAACACGTGACACAATACGTATGTCTGGTAACCCAGATAATATTTCCGTTTATCATTACTCTTCACAATTCATCTTTTCATACTTCATCCCTAAGGATAGAAATAGTCGTTATTTCTCCTTAAAATAAATTACGATTTTTCGTTCAAAAGAAACATTTGTGGTAAAACTTGTCAAAAGTCGTTTTACAATCATAAGCCGTATTATATTGTATTATAACCCAGATAATTCCCACCTAGACAAGTATTTGAAGAAAACTGCCGTGAAATTCATGAACCAAGTTCTGTTTCGATAAAAGCTCTTCTTTCTAAGGGTACCACACATACTTACCTCTTTTTATCTAGTCGATAAGTTTAAAAAAAGATTTAGTTTAAAACAAGAATATAAACAGTAGCAAGGCGTTTCTTTATTCGTACAAAATACAAGCTTTCGGATCTTTATAATCCTTCCACAGGCATTGCTATAAGATATCCTCATTTTCTCAACTTATAACTATGTCTGTGGAAGGATTACAAAGATTACTAGACAATTAAAATAATTTTATTGACATCTTGTCAATACATGCAAAAGTACACAGTCTGCCCTATTTTTAAAAAATGATAATTACATATATACATGATACTATGTACAAAGTACATGGCGCCACTACTACCGCTGCAGAGTTTGGTGGAGAATCACCAGCGGGTCTCCAGCGACACCACGTATTTCACCATCCACGAAGAATACGTAGATCGCGTACTTCGCCGCTGAGGAGATGGTGATGGCGTGGTCCTTGAGACCAACTGGAAAGATCCAGGATTACAAAGATCCGAAAGCTCGCACTTTGCACGAATAAAGAAACGCTACTTTTTATATTCTTATTTTATACTTTTATAGACATTTTCTTTTCTAATAAGATTTACATATAGAAATCATTGTTCACGTCGCAATGGAGTTTTAACAATCAATGTTGTTAATTTGCATCAAAACCATTGGTGGTTTTAAAGTATATACACACTAATGGACAAAACTTAAGGAAGTTTCATATTTTGATGTCGCCGGTCGTCTACTTTTTTGAAGGAGACGGAGGCAATTTTTTCACACTTGGTCACTGTAATATATTTCAGAGTTATTGTCTCAATCCCGATATACATGCTGAAAGTTACAACTTCCTTAAGTTTTGTCCATGAGTGTATTTTGTTCACACTTGGTTATCTCGTGTGTCTTCAATAAAGGTCACTGTAATATCTTTCAGAGTTATTGTCTGAATCCCGATATACATGGTAAAAGGTACAACTTCCTTAAGTTTTGTCCATGAGTGTATACACACTTGGTTATCTCGTGTGTCTTCAATAAAGGTCACTGTAATATCTTTCAGAGTTATTGTCTCAATCCCGATATACATGCTGAAAGGTACAACTTCCTTAATTTTTGTCCATGAGAGTATACCATTTTATTCCGATTCAGTCGAGAAGGGACACACTGTAGACTTGAACAATATTCTTACCCGTTGACCGCAGTCATACAATTATCTTGGCTGTCTATCTAGTTAGACAATACTATCAGACTATTGTTCTATCCAGTCTTTCAGATGAATGAATCCTTAGACAGATTCCTCTAATACGGTCGGCCATAGTCAGGACGTTGCCTTGGTACCTTCATCCAGACATTTCTCAGTAAACTAATGCAGTTATTTGTTTTCCACATTCATATATTTGTATCAATGCATTAGATGAGAATCAGCCCCCGATTCTTGCAAAAGTCCAACCCCACCAGCGAGTGCAAGTAACCAAACGAGGCTCTGGCACATTTGTAAGTGCAAAGTCGAACTGCTTTTCACATGTGTAGACATGTGGTGCGCTTAGAGTAAAAGCAGTTGCTAACTACCCACCATGATTATCATGGCCTGTACCACGTGTACTAGGGATAATAATAATAATAAAAAAAAGATGAGAATCTCCTGTATACGGATGTAAAATAATGCAGCAAGTTTCTGGAGATTAGTTTATTTTACATTTTTATTCCAATCTCAATATTTCAGGCATTACTTCCCTTTTACAGGAGTACAAAGTAAGCAAATAACAAAATGCTCTGTTACCGAACTGTCACTTCAATATTTTGGATTGGGTCTTGTTACCATTTTTGATTCTAAGTCTGGATGCGATATTTATGGCGAACTAAATAACTTAGTCCCTATTTCTGCTCCGCGCTTATGGAATTGAAGACTTGAGGCGATGGCGTCGACCTTTCATATTAAATCTTACTTTTCCTTATTAATAATAATTGTATATAGTTGCGGGACTAATGGTTTCCTGTGCTGCTCTTTTCCTGTTATTGCACCTTGTACGGAGAATCTGTATAAGACTAACGTCTTAATAAAGGCTTTGTGTGTGTGTGTGTGTGTGATTCTAAGTGGGAAATTACACCCTGGCAACACTAGAGTGACAGCCAATAGAACAGCGCCAATGTACGTGAGGAATATACGTTTAGATATATCCAGGTATAAAAAACCCAATCCCAACAATCGGTAAAGGTCACCAAACCACCACCAGCATCAGCTGAGACAAAGATCATCCATCAATCCTCTAATCACAGAACGTGTGGTGTGGGAGGAGATATTCTCAACAAAACCAACCGTTTGAGAATTAATTCAGGAAAATTTTCAATTCTCTCGCCGGGGATAATTTCACCCTTCCATAAATTACATTCCCGCTAATTGTGGCACAATTTATCACGTCTGCTGTAATTAGCCTTTCATTAGCGCCTCTTTGATCCTGCCGCTCGGGGAACTCACCACAAGATTACCGCTCACCTTCTGCTGAGGTCACATATCCTTCCTACCTACACCCGGGGTAGAGAAATAACACTGTAGACGCAATCATATTAAAAGTTTTGAGGGTCGATGGAAGGATGGTCAACCAACCGTTGGTTTTCGACCTCTACGACCTGGGTTTGATTCCCACATTGGGCACTTTTTTTCTGATTTAAAAAAGAAATGCACCAATGGCCCCCGATTCTTTTAAAAGTTCAACTCCACCAACGAGTGCAAGTAACCAAACGGGGTTCTGGCACATTTGTAAGTGCAAAGTCGAACTGCTTTTGACAGCAGTGTGGTGCACTTACAGTAAAAGCAGTCGCCTACTTCTACCCACCATGATTACCATGGCCTGTACCACGTGCACTAGGGATAAGCAAATATATATATGTCATAATATATACTCTTTCAGGAATAATAAAGCAAACCTACAGTCGACCCAGAGAGAGACGGGAGGGTAAAGTCCGGTCACTTTAGACATCAGCGACATTCCAAGGGGCGACCACTGAGGCCGGTTACTTGGAACCTCGGGACTATTAAGACAGTTGGGGATTGTGTGCGACACAAACGGACGCCCGGCTCCCTCTCTCTCTCTCTCTGGTTGTCTGGGTTCCTTCTCCAACTTGTGGTGTGATTATTGCTCTTTCCCCACCTTATTATTATTGCCACATATATATATTAAAAGTAACAAAAAAAAAAAAAGGCTTAACATATTGTGAAAATTCGAAACTATTATAGACGCGTATGATTCTTTTAAAAATCAAACAATTTCTACTGTCCTTACTGCAATGGAAAAATACATATTAACATATTGTCATGTCGTAGATGTATATTAACTTGATGCGCCATCTGCTATCGGAAATTTGAACTATTTATGATTCTCATCAATGATGAACCAACCCACTGAGAGGATTCACCATTGATGAGCCAGATCCCTTCCCAACAGATTGGTCAATCTGTCAATCAAACGGTGCACAACATTTCCATTTATAACGGATTGAAGTGTATGACGGTAAAACAAACCCAAAGCTATAAAACCATTTGTTAGAAACCCAAAAAGGATTTAAAAAAAAAAGCCACAAAACCGACAAAAAGCAGTTGTTATGTCTCTATGTTCTTACGATTACTCCAGGTCACCGAGATCCATTAAGTGATAAAACCTTTATTGCCTCACAAACACTAATATAACTGAACTAACTATTTACAAATTAAGAATATCTATATATATACATAAAAATAATTAACATAGTAAAACAAACATATTTATAACCACTATGCAAAACCTTATTTGCATATCACAACAATTTATCTAAACATAACTATTGTTATCCAAAATACCACAGCAGTGAACAATTCCCCCCCAAAAAAGATAAACTTCCTTTTAAGTTTCCCATCAAAAAGTGGCACATATATATCACATTATTATAAAAAGAGAAAGATTTTTTCCCTCTAAAGCACTCTTTAAATTCCCCATAATATTGAACGATGCATATAAAAAAAAAAAATAAAGAAAAGAATGGTTTGAATCTGTGAAGGAAAAGAAAAGACCTTTTTTTTTTCCTTCGTTCAGTCTAGTTTCCTTGTGCTTAGAAGGTGATGCCTTGGTCAGTATGGATAAAATGGGTTTTCCAAGGAGAGAGGGAGAGAGAAAAAAAAGGTGGCGAGTAGAAGAAGAAGAAAAAAAAAACAGCGCTGTGTGGGGGCGTAAAAAGCCATCGCCCGTCCACTCTCATTGGGATGATGGGGGCAATTTGGTCGAAGTGGGCAACGACACATCTGGCCTAATAGACTCCTAATTTATTTGGTGGAAGGTGATAAACCCCTCCAATCTTGTCTTCGGTTGTGGGGAACACATTCCTCCTTCTAGCTGCTTCTTTACCTTCTCTTACATATACATCGGGTATAAGACAATTGTAAAACGACATTTGAAAATTATCCCGCATCTTTTCAACGAAAAATAAATATTTATTTTAAGGAGAAATAACGATTATTTCTAACCTTAGGGATAAAGTATGAAAGGATGAATTGTGAAGAGTAATGATAAACGGAAAAATAAAAGTGTCCAGGGATGGGAAGCGAACCCACAGTGTTTCACTTACCGGGCAAAATGCCATGTCCACTAGGCTATCCTGGACATATTTTTCCGTTCGTAAATAATACATATATTGTGATATACTTTTATAAAAATATCTTTAAAAAAAAAACCTCTTACGCAATAAGAAAAATAGTACAAAAGTGAATTCGCACTTGGATCAGGATTAATTGAGAAAAAGTACATTTCGTGATCGTGTAACTAAAAGTTGCTGATGGCTTGCGCCATCTATCGGCCATCAGAAACTTTTAGTTGCACGATAAGGAGTTGCCTTTTTTCTCAAATTACACAACAAGTTTATTTACAAAAACACTGCGAGCTTTCGAGGTCTCGCTCTTTTCAACGGGCGAAGTTACAACTGAGAGTGATCACGGGAAGGGAGGTCGAGATATACTAAATAATGGGTATTTGTACTTGATTTGAATATGACTGAATTGTTCTCTGGGATGTCTATTCTTCTGTTGATACTGTTCTTATGTTTGGGTATAAGGGATTCGAGGGTTAATCTTTCTGACGGTATTTTTGTATTAAAGAAGCGTAAGGTTTTTTTATTTTTATTTTTATAAAAGTTATCTTCAGGTCATCATTGAGGGATTCCTTCGAGATTGAACCTTTTAAGGATGTGACAAATAAAGGTATGTAAACCATTGATCCCGCATGGGTCACTTTTTTTTTCCCGAGGAAAAAAACTTGCTTTTCTCTATGTCCTTGCAAATTCTTTCAAAAGTCCAACCCTACCAGTGAATACAAGTAACCAAGCAGGGCTCTGGTACACTTGTAAGTGTACTTACTTTGGTTACTGGTCACATTATTTGAAGGTTAAAGACACTTATCGCTAGTATAGTTGCTACAAGACCTCGTTGTTTTGAATAGAACCGTCAATGTAGTTAAATACACGCTATTCATTTTAGTTACAGGCTATATAGTACGAAGGATGTCCACTCACTATGACGATCCGTGGGGGTGGTGGGATGGTTACTGCCGTCGTCCGAGGAGCCGGGCGAGGCCAGCGGTTGACTCTGGGAAGACAGGTTGATCCCCAGCTGCTCGGCCAGCTCGGCGTGATCCTCCTGATGGCAGTAGTCGAACACCGAGCTGCCCGACATCTCCACCTGGACACCCGCCCCACTCAATCACATCATTCATGATAAAATTGCGAAAATGTTTTAAAATTACAAAATATTTCCTCACAATGAGTTTCTTTTTATTACAAAACGCTAGCTTTCAAGTGATAATCGCTCTTCAACGGGCTTAATAAAACATCGACTATATCTTACCAGAAATATTTACAAAAACATACAGCGTGGATATTTATAACTGACATTTTAAAATTGGTTTGTAATTTAACAATTTTATGGAATATGTCAATTTTAACACTTGTAATTTATTAATAACACTGATAGACAAAACTTAAGTATGTTGTACCTTATAGCATATATATATATCGGGATTCAGAAAATATCTCTCAGAGTTATTTTCTGAATCCCGATATATATATATGCTATAAGGTACAACATACTTAAGTTTTGTCTATCAGTGTAATAAGGTGAAAGTATACCAGGTCTCCAATGATAAATAAAAAAAAAAAGGCACATATCTCCTGATCGTGCAACTAAAAGTTTCTGATGGCTTGCGCCATCTATCGGAATAATATTAACTAAACCATGATATTTTAATATTTTACCCCACGTGCATAGTTAGCTGGAAATAATACTTCTAGGTGCTTCTCTTGATGGATATATTAGCTAGATAGCTAGAGAAATGGTACAAGAAACTTGGATTACTTGTTTTTTTTTTTGCTTATCCCTAGTACACCTGGTACAGGCCATGATAATCATGGTGGGTAGTTAGCGACTGCTTTTTTACTGTAAGCGCACCACATGTCTAAACATGTGAAAAGCAGTTCGACTTTGCACTTACAAATGCCAGAGCCCGGTTTGGTTACTTGCACTCGCTGGTGGGGTTGGACTTTTGCAAGAATCGGGGGCCATTGGAGCATTTTTTTTTTAAACAGAAAAAGTGTCCAATGCGGGAATCGAACCCGGGTCCTAGTGGTCGAAAACCAAACGGTTTAACCAGCCTTCCACCGACCCCCGGATTACTTGTTGAATTTATTAAACACCCACAGAATGTCTTCTATACAGTGCTACAACGATCTCCACTTTAAATGGACAACATTCAAGAGAGCCCATTTCAAAAAGATCATTATCCTTAGTACACATAGAGTACAGTCCATGATAATCATGGTGGGTGGTAGTTTGCGATTGTTTTTACTGTAAGTGCACCACATGTCTACACATGTAGATAAGCGTAGTCTGGATTTTGTACTTACAAATATACTAGAGCCTCGTTTAGTTACTTCCACTCACTGATGGGGTTGGACTTTTGCATGAATCAGGGGCCCATTGGAACAATTTTTTTTGTTAATTCAGAAAAAAATTGAACAATGCGGGATTCGATCCCAGGTCCTATATGTACTAAATAGACGGTTTATACCACTCGTCCACCGAGAGAATTTATCGAAAGTTTCGAACATAAAGAAATAGTATCAAGTCAAGATGTCTCTTCAATACTAAATATTTGTGTTCAGCCTCCGTTACTAAACAGAACTATCGTAAGTATCTAACCCTAATTGCATAGTCTTGTGGCTTTACCATGTTGGAAACAATACTTGTGGCGAGTGAGATTGGAACCCCATAACGCCCTTGGTTAGGATTTCAAGAAGGGTTTACAAGTACCTCTCGAAATGGAACTAAGGAGGATTTAAGAAGACCCCCTCCATGTGTACAAGTGTACAAAATTTCATATTCCTACGTGCTCTAAAAGTATATATAAGATCTACGTATTCTTCGTAGATCGCGAAATACGTGGTGTCGCTGGAGACCCGTTGGCCACCAAACTCTGCAGAGCTGGCAGAGGCGCTATGTACATTGTATATAGTATTATGCATATATATATGTAATTATATACTTTTTAATAGTACAGACTGTGTACTTTGCATGTATTGACAAGATGTCAAGAAAATTATTTTAATTGTCAATAAGTATATCAAAAATTGATTACAGAAGATATGTGGACAAACAGACATAGGGAAACAAGTTAAATAAACGCTTTTAATTACAATCTTCTACTTCTTATAAACATTAAAGAAAACCGGCTATTTTTTATTCTACTAAAATAAAAAAAATCTAAATATATAACAGGTATGAGGAAAAAACACACATTCACATAAAAAAAGAGATAAATCTAAGAAAAAAAAAAGATAGATTAGCAACATAACAACTGTCCCATATGGCAAAATTATGGGACCACATTAATCAAGCTTAGAAAAGTGGCCAAAAAGGAAACATGACCCCACTCTTTTATTTCTGTTCACTGAAGGAAACAACAAATGGTCAAAAAAAAAACATTTAAAAAACGTTGAAATAAATAATCAAAAGCCCATAGACACTTAACTCTTTTAAAAAAGAGAAGAAAACAACAAGGAAAAAAAAAATACAATTTCCAAAACACCATTCAAGAAAAAAAAAGGGGGGAGGGGAGGAACAAATAAATTTAAAATTTGTCATAAAAACATGACTCTCAGGGTTAGAAGGGGGAAAGAGGAATAATGACTGTAAAGGAATAACTCTTATTTGAATGGTTAATAAATACCATAGGAATTTTATGGGTATTTTTCCATTCTATTGGAAGAGTTTGATACATTGCTTGGGGGGATGAAAACTGTCATAAATCTAGGTAAGGGCATAAAAAACACGTTAGGACATTTGAAAGAAAGAAGAATAATCGGTAAAGATGTTAAAGACGGTAAAAAAAAAAAAGGATGTTCGTGTCTTATCACGCTGAAGAATTTCTCCCCAATATAAAAATTTCGGTATTTATTGCTTTGATAAGGAATCAAAGGGTTCGCCGAATGTTATCCAGCGGTGTTCTGACGTATTTATGGGATGGTATTACGTCGTTTGGTAATCAATGGAGGACATTGCGGTCGGTCACAAGCTGTGGGTGCCATGGCCTAAAAAAAACCAATTTATCACTTTTTTTTTACTAAAGTAAACTATTCTTTATGGCTACATGCCATGTTATCACGACCGTATCTAAAAAAACTCCCAAGTTGTTGGGTTTTTTTCCCATTAAAATATAGAATTAATATTAGAAAAAAGCATCTCTCTGATCGTGTGACTAAAAGTTGATGATGACTATCGCCATCTATCGGAATAAATATAAACTAATAGTTAATTTTTTTTTAATTTGGAAAATATTTATATTTATATATTTTTTATATTCGACAAAAAAAAAAAAACTGCTCATTCAGGCATACTGAAAAATCACGAAACTGGTAGTTAAGGCCAGAAATGCGTGAGAACGCCAAACAATGTAAAATGCCTACGTGATTAGCATTTCTTGATTAAACAAGAATGGGTATTTGGCTGACAACGGACAAATTAAAACTTAGAATTAAAGAAATTGAAGATTGTAATTTAAAAATTTTGTATTTAACACTTTCTCCCCCATGTCTCTCTGTACACAAATCTTTTGTAATCAATTTTTAATATACTTCTAGAGCACGTAGGAATCTGAACTAAAAGTTGCTGATGACTTGCGCCATCTATTGAAATAAATTGATTTTTTAATAATTAAAAAAATCAACGATCAGTTGATATTTATTCCGACAGATGATACAAGATCTCACAACTTTTAGTTACACAATCATGAGATGCCTTTTTCTCAATTTATCCACCTGATTTCAGTACAATTTCATTTTTATACTATTTTTTTCACATAGAATTAATATATTTTATTTCAATTTAAAGCGCTATGTCCCCCTAGGAACACTTGCGCTGTCATACATATATGCCTTTACATTTGTCTATACAACAACAACAAAAAGCCTTTATTTAGGGTCACTGACCCTATACAGGATTCACCAGAGGTATACATAAGAACAAAGCAGTGAGACAAAGGAAACAACGATATAGACAGAAGAAAAAGAAAAAAAGAAAGAAAAAAAAAATAAGAAAGAGAAAGAGGGAAGCAAGAAAAACAACACAAAAAGAGTAGCAGTAAGAAAGTGAGGAGTGAGTGTCACTTGGCCTTCTTCTGAGATATGGACTTGTGGAAACCATAAAACGCCGTAGCAATATACTTATTCTGGGTCATATTGTCAATTATTGATGGAAGTGAAGCACAGACATTTGTCTATACATATATGTAACACGCCAATAAGCAGATGATATTGTTTTGCGTAAAGAAAGAGAGAACAATCAACCGTCTGACTAACTAACTTTATTTTAATCACGCGCCTTTTATTTTATAGTTACAAATATTTACATAATTCCTGACAGCGTAAATATTTACATCTATTAATAATTTATAAGCAGAATGTGACATATATATATATATATATATATATATATATATAATAATTTTAGGCCGTGAATAGAATAGTCATATGATGTTAACAATGAGAAAGAGAGAGGGAAAAAAAAAGAGAGAAAAAAGAAGTGTGTACAAAGGAAGAAGTGTCTGTCAATATGTACAATAAACATAATATATAGTGAGCATCCATCAAGTCAACCTTTAGTGACTATATGGACAAATATTTGATCTATTGGTGACCATCACTCGCAGCTTACCTCTCTACATAACTATTACAGCAACCCTCAAAAAGACCACCGATTATTATTATAGCCATCAAATCTACCAAATATTACAAGATTGTGATATTTCAAAAGCAAACACAAATACCTTCTAGATATAATATTGAATATGAAAATAATTGAAAACAAGAAAACGTTATAAACAAAATCCACAATAACCATTTAAACGATAACGTAGCGTCATTTCAATCAAAAGATATATGTGAGAAAAATATTAATTATTCTATGAACAGATTATTGATCTTGACATTTATATTTTTCTACACTGTATGTGCTTCTTTACCTCTCTGGTATTTTTATTAATTTTAATTTGTGCCGTCTCATTCTGAAGCTTATCTCTTTCCTAATTTTACACGTAACTATAATCATACATCCTTTGTTGTTGTTGTCGTGTCCAATGAAGAGCCTCGGATGTCTCTGTGTATTTCTATCACGGCAGTCGTTCTCTATCTAGTACGTTTTATGTATAAAAGAAACATTCGCGCTTTTGGGTCCTTTTGTTTTATATGTATAGATGGCGCGTTATTGCTTTGTGTTAATTTATTCCTAATTGGCCTTGTCTTTATAGTTTGCTGAAGAGCATTGCTCGAAGCAAATATTTGAATGTAATTCTACTGTTCTATAAGCTTATGTCCATAGTTTACTTGAAAACCATTTCTGGGATTCCATCCTTCAGTGTAGCATATAAAAGCAGAATGATCCAATACAGTATTAGAGCTCTGAGAAGCGGTCTGGTGGATTAAATTGGCGAAACCGCTGGGAGGGTTCACCACTGATGAGCCAAGCCCTCCCAATATATTTTTTCATCGCAGTAAGGACAGTAGAAGTTCGTTTTATGTATAAAAGAAACATTCGCGCTTTTGGGTCCTTTTGTTTTATATGTATAGATGGCGCGTTATTACTTTGTGTTAATTTATTCTATCTTGGGTGTGTAAAGCTGCTGCTCTAGGTCCATGTCAATTTTCTGTTGTTGTTGTTGTTGTCGTGTCCAATGAAGAACCTCAGATGTCTCTGTGTATTTCTATCACAGCAGTCGTTCTCTATCTTGGGTGTGTAAAGCTGCTGTTCTTGGTCCATGTCAATTTTCTGTTGTTGTTGTTGTCGTGTCCAATGAAGAACCTCAGATGTCTCCATACATCTCTATCACGGCAGTCGTTCTCTATCTTGGGTGTGTAAAACTGCTGTTCTTGGCCATGTCAATTTTATGTTGTTGTTGTGTCCAATGAAGAGCCTCAGATGTCTCCATACATCTCTATCACAGCAGTCGTTCTCTATCTTGGGTGTGTAAAACTGCTGTTCTTGGCCATGTCAATTTTATGTTGTTGTTGTGTCCAATGAAGAGCCTCAGATGTCTCCATACATCTCTATCACAGCAGTCGTTCTCCATCTTGGGTGTGTAAAACTGCTGTTCTTGGCCATGTCAATTTTATGTTGTTGTT